GATCTAGATCTCCAACTCATCGATCTCTTATTCATCCCCATCATTGTTGGTCTCTACCTCTCTCACTTTGCAAACCCAAGCCGGTTTCAAAGTTGTCCTCCTCGTGCTCTATGTGTATGAGACAAATGCACACGTTGGGCCACTCCCTCATTGTCAACATCCTGGACTTATCTCATCCCATAAATCCAAAAACCCATTCAACAACAGCTCCATATATCTCAACATCCCGATCATATCTTCTCCATGCAAAGGTTCGGGATTTTGGCGAGTTCCACTATCATGATGATCGTCTATTAGATCATCCACTATCAAGAGAAGTCTCCAGAGTGGGACGCTCAATGATACAAACAAAGGGTTGACATATTTTTGCTAAGGTAGAGGTTGTGAAGGAGAAGATGAAGGATGAGAAGAGAGAAAGAAAGAAAGAGAGAGAGAGAGAGAGAGAGAGAGAGAGAGAGAGGAGAAAAGAAAAGGAAGAGAGGGAGGAGAAGGAGATGGAGAAGGGATGTTTGTTTTTTAGTGGGTTCACATGGACGCCATGTGTTATCTACATGACGTCTATGTGGATTAAAACAAACAACGTCATTGTCCACATGTGTTGATATTTGGTGATGTTAATTTTTCCTAACAGCAAGTGGATGATTATTTTCCAGAAATTGAGGATAAAATCATGTATTTTAACCAAATGAAAAGTAAAGAAACACATTGCATGCACTCATCTGTTTATACTAAAACTAAAATAGTTGTTTTCGATGACTAATTATTTCAAAAGCTTAAGTAGATAACTTCTTCAGGCCTCAAGAGGCCTTAGGCACGGTGACCCTGTCTCTCCCTTACTATTTATAATAGTTATGCAAGCTCTCAACAGACTGATTGAAAAAGCTAGACTCACGGGTTTAATCAAGGGTATTAGTGTCAGGAATACTGGTCAACAGACAGAAATCTCTCATCTTTTTTTTTACGGATGATACATTATTTTTCTGCCAGCTGGAAGTTGCTACCCTCCTTAATCTGAAGTCCATTTTACTATATTTTCAAGCTATTCCAAGGTTAAAAATTAACACGGAAAAATCCGAGCTTGCGGAAATTGCTGCCAACAGACCTGAATTCTCTTTTGCTGATGTCCTCAATTACAAAAAATCGCAATTGCCTATCAGTTATCTAGGTAATGCCTTGGCACTAAGCATCAAGACGGCTCTTGTTGGGAACCGATAGTGGATCTATTTCAAAGCAGATTATCCAATTGGAAAAGAAAATTCTTGTCTGGAGGAGGGAGATTAACCCCCATTAAGAGCACGTTCTCCAATCTGCCCATCTATTATCTATCCGTCCTCACAATTCCTGTCAAAATTGCAAAAAAAAAAAAAACTTGAATTTATTCAATGCCAGTTCCTCGGGTGATGATGATAACAACAGAAAATTTCATCTTGTAAAGTGGAATGAGGTGAAGAAACATGGTCTTATCACCCTCAATAAGACCATGCACTGGAAATGGATTTGAAGATTTTGAGAACGACAATCAGAACCTGCAGAAAAAGATCATTCTCAGTAAATGGTATGGGAAAGGCCCTCATTACCAACCTTTAATCGAGACGGATAAATACGGCATGAGCTTGTGGCAAAGCATAGTGAACTTTAGTAAGACTGTACTAAACTGCTGTAAATGGGTTGTGGGCAGAGGCAGTAAAGTAAGGTTTTGGCAGGATGTTTGGTATGAAGATGAAAGATTTCAAACCCGTTTCCCTCTCACTTTTGCGATTGCGAGAGACAAGGAGCTAAGTGTTGAGAAGGCCTCTGGGGATGCCAGCTCCTCTGCCTGGGAAATTGACGAATATGAGCAGTTGCTTCAAGTTCTGGCCAATATTTAACTCAGCAGCGAGGAGGACAAATTAAGTTGGAAACTGGGTAAAAAATGTATGTTTACTGTTAAATCCTTTTACAGTCATCTCGATGACTCTGTTCTGGTTAATTTCTCATTCAAACTGATTTGGAAATCCCAAGCCCCTCCTAAAATATCCTTTTTTCTTGGAAGCTGCAAAAGAACAAATCTTGACTGCCGACAACCTCATGGGAAGAGGCATGGTTCTTGTTAATAGATGTGCTCTGTGCAAACTCAACTAGAAAACCTGCAATCACTTGTTACTCTGGTGCCCTGTAACTCACAAACTATGGTCTATGGTTTTCATTCTCCTGGGCATCCAATGGGTCACCTCTGGCACTGCTAAAGGTGAACTAGCTGTTTGGAATGGGCTAGGGACAAGAAACAAATCTCACAAACTGAAAGGAAAAAAACAATTTTCTGAGTGATTTGAAAGGAAAAAAACAACAGACTTTTTGAAGGCATTGAAACTGATTTTGACATTATCAAGAATAGGTGGTTACATTATTTTGGACCTATTATTTTAGGGCACAATCCTGATAGTTTTGACGACATTGGATCTAGATCTGTAAATTCTGATCTTGTATATGGGTGATGTCCCCTTGACATCTCCTTAATACACATTTTTCTATCTTTTATCTCAAAAAAAAAAAGCTTAAGTGGATAATAAATTGCTTAATTTAATACCTTTATGCTATATATATGTTATGGTCCTGCTAATTGATCTAGTTATGGGTCTTGCAATTATTAGGATCTCTATTGTCCTTTTGAGTTTTTCTACCTTTTCCTATTTTTAGTCTAGTTTTAAGGGCTAGTTAGGATAAAACTCTACGAGTAAGAAAGTACCCAAATCTTGAACGTACTTCTTCAATGACAATGCTGCCAAAAGACAGCACAGTCTTATTACAGAGAAGGGAGAGTTATGCTGGAAGTTTTATTTCCAAATTTCACATAACTGCCCATAGTCTTATCCTAGACTTATTCTTTCTTTCTATCTATTAGAGACAAATAGGACATATATTACACATATGACAGCAAATACACAAATACAATATTCCAGTCCTTACACGCAAATTATGAATTACATAATTTTCTTTTTGTTCCTTTCTTTATCGAAAGGAATTAGTTTCCCACTTGTGGAGTTCCGAACAATATATTTACCATACTCTATCATGTCAAAGTGGAACTTTGAGCTTACCTGATTGACTCAACCAAAAAAGAAACAGATCCCCAATAAAGAGCAACGGTTACCAATCAACTAGTTTGCATGGCTTCACAATCTAAAACTTTTAAGGGGGACAAAAGAAATTGTGAGTAAATAATAAAAGGAAGAAGATATTCTCAACATCTGATAGAGGTGGATAATTTTTTAAAAAAAAAATAAGAAGTGTAAAATGTATAACTATAGGCACCAAAAAGGGGTGCAACCCATCTACAAGCAAATTACAACACAATCATCAAGAGACAAACATTGCAAAAAAAGGTCTCCATGACCACTCTTGGGTGACCCATCAACCAAAACTCAAGAGTCTTAAACCATCTATTCGTTAGGATATTAAATCCATTAACACTATCAACTCCATCAAAAGCCCTTCTATTTCTTTCCTTCCAAACAGTCCACCAAATGGTGAGGGGGATAACATCCACAAATAAACATCTGTCTCTTAAAAAACCCCAAGCCCATAATTCATCTCTGACCGTCCTCGCCATAACCCGCCCAATTCCCAAAGCTCTATACACCAAAGTTCACATCTCAAAGGCAACAGGACATGATAACAATAGATGGTTGCAACTCTCTTCTGCCTTCAAACACAAAAAACAGCCATTAACTAGCACCTGCCTTCTCCTTCTTAGTTTATCAATGGTGAGTATACTCTGGTCACTTCCCATATGAAAAAAGAGACCCTTGGAGGGAGTTTTACTTTCCAAATCTGCATGCGAGGGAACAACACAGCCTCATTAGATGTCTTAACCAGTCACCTGTACCAAGATTTGACTCTAAAAACCCATTTTTTGTAAGTGTCCATCTCGGTCTGTCATCTTCGTCCTTTAGTGAAATCTGAGAAAGTATACCTAGCAGTTTCCCGCACACACTGACTTTCCAGTCAGATAAGTTTCTAGTCACCACCACCTGCCACTCACCCTCCTCCCCTATCACCCCATCAAGACAATCACAAATGCTGATCTCTTTATTCTGGGCGATTAAGTAAATCTGTGGAAATTGACTCATTAGGCTACCCCCTTCTAACCAGTTGTCTGTCCAGAATTCAATCTATTACCTCTCCCATCTTCCAGCTATACACTTCATTAGTTTTCTTTCCTTCACCAATTTTCTTCATA